TGTATCGCCTGGATCCCTTGGTCCCGTACCAGGGACCTGCCACTGGCGTCCGAGCTGGGCTTGTTGTCAGAGGTGTGGACAACGCTGCCCACCACTGAGAGGCCGAACAGCACCAGCAGGACGGCGTGCGCCATCTGAAATATGGCGAAGTCAACGCATCGCCTGTGACGCTACCAGAACTACGAAATAAAAAGGAAGTCGTGAAAGCAACAACCAGGCGCATCAGCTTCCGTGCACGAACGGCAACAGTAAGCTTGTCCAGGTTGTCAGCATTCTCAGTAGGATACAACTTGTTTGTACAGGTAAACTCGTTTTCGTCGCACATGCAAAGTCACGAGATTTTCGGCTCGGACGCTACTCCAGTTCCTCGAGTATTATCTGTACCGATTTAGCGTCAGCCGCCAGCTGTGTGGCGCGGATATCCTATATTCATCATCTGGGCCCAAGCGATTCGCGGATATGTCTGGATAGTAGATGCAGACCTGTTTTAACCACTCTTATGTTATGTAACGTTGCCCGATGATCACGTCTTCACTAGCCACACCTCATTAACTCAACCCATCGTCAGACTTACCCCTGATCAGAAGATATACACAAACGCCAAGCGATCAGCGGGTAACGCTCCACCTCACTCGCTATGCAACACGACAATAGCGTCATCCACAGGTCCGGCGCAACTTTATCCCACTTCTGGCTCTGCAAGTGGGTCAAGGTCCTCTCAGAGGGGGAGGGGGATGGGGAGGCCTCACGACTGCCGGGAGACAGGTTGCTGGTCCCATATAGGGAAAGCAGGTTCTTAGAGCCTCAACGCGAGAGATGCTGGCACGGCCGTGCGCCCAGGCCTCATGCCGACTCGAGTACGCCTCGTGACCCTGCACGTTGGCAGAGCGAAACTCACATGACGTCTGAACGTGGATCCAGGGAATACGCGCACGTCACGCACATTCCCAGGCAGGCAGCTTTGGTGGCGCTACTGCTTCCGAACAAGTGATAAGATCAGGTGTCAGCTCCACTTACTGCAAATGTTCGCGGATATGCGCCACGCACGCTACACACCCAAAGCCGTGTTGCCCGGAGCGGGACACGCGGACGAGCAGAAGATCCGCTGTTCGGAGGCCCGGCCCGCTATATCCGCCGGCGGCTCGCCCGTCAGCTACGGGGATCTGCGGGGAGAGGAGGGAGTCGAGAGAGGATGGGAGTGATGCACGCACATCAGTAACAATTGGGTCTTAAGGGCGCGTGAACTGCGAAGGTAGTTTACGACCATCGAAGAAACGAGAGGAGTAGAGTCAGAGAGAGAGAGAGAGGGAGAGAGAGAGAGAGGAGAGAGAGAGAGAGAGAGAGAGAGGAGAGAGAGAGAGAGAGAGAGAGAGAGAGAGAGAGAGAGAGAGAGAGAGAGAGAGAGAGAGAGAGAGAGAGAGAGGGAGAGAGAGAGAGAGAGAGTCAGGGGAAACGAGCGAAGTTCGGGCGGGTGGGCTCCGGCCGCGGCCGGCGCCTGTGTGGGCGGTCCGGGGGCCGACCGGCGCCTGATTCGGCCAGTGTGGGGGCGCCGTCGCCGCAGGCGGGGGCCGGGGCCGCGGCAACATTGACCCACCGTCCAGCACGGGCCAGGGTCGGGGATACGCCCTGATACCGTGACCAGTCCGGCGGCGCCTCCACACGACGCACCACATTTAGCAGTCAGCCTGCAGCACGCTGGTGGCGTGAGGAGTGCACAGCTGGACCGCTCGGAGCAATTACAGTTGGGTGCAGCGTCATTGCCAAATGCATCTTGCTCAATAAGATTTGAGAATACTGATGGCGTAATGGACAAATGTGGAGCATCTTGGAAACAGCCACGAGAAGCAATTGGCAGGCGAAAAAAGCTTGAGCGATAATTTCAATGGAACGGCACATTGTCCCGTCACGCGCACACCGTTGTAGGAAACGTTACACGCACAAACACACTCATCTGTCTTTGTCACCAACTTTTAGACGGCATCATGGCGAATTGTTTGCATACGAGAACTCGAAGCATTACGGAGTGCAGCGATCTGGTTGGCTGTTTCTTTTGAATGCCAATTGACGGGCTGACTTCAGTTCAGTGCCATCGGATCTTCGGCATGATGACCTCATCACCCCTCGTCAATCCAGCCTCACACGATCACATGTGTCGGTGCCCATGCGTCCGTTCATCGTCCGTTATCGAAAAAGGTTTCCGTATACTGTTCACATCAGCCGTTGAGCCCGTTTGAATCCGTGACAGATGGCAGTCTGCCTCTCACCACTTTGCACTAATTCGCACCAATTGCAAAGGCTAGGTATTAGGAGACTGTAGAGAGAAACATACTTCGTGACATCGCACATGCATGCTGGTGGGGGCCGCCATCATCACTGGAGTGGCAAAGCGGTCAAGAGCAGTCACAAGGCCGAAATGGAACATGATTGCAATGCAAATGCCATTTCGCCGTCATATGATGGGAGCCTCGCCGACGTTCGCCGGCTTCAATGTCATCCATGCAACCTCCCGGTACATGGTCCATTGGTTAGCGGTCATCGCTTTCCAGATGGCTGTCCCGACGCCGTGGCATGATGCACGCCATGTGAGCGGCTTACAGCACACGTAACTCATGCGCCAAAAGCAGACAGGAACAGGAAATCCTCCCCGGGCGGCCGCAAGGCTACAGGGCTCAAAAGTGGGGACAGGTGTCATCCGCGTGATACATCATGCATACATGGCGCCGAATGACGGGGCCCTCGGCGAGGGGTGTCCACCTGTCGCGAGTGACGTATGAGCCCCGGCGGTCCCCTGACCCAGCCGCCGCGGGCCTAAACCGGCCACCAGCAATGGTGCACTTCGCCTCCTCGATGTGCCCTGGCGGCGCGTCAGTATCGCCCAAGTCTGCACAGAGGGGACTTATTATTTCATGCACACACCAGTGTGAGTCTCGCCAGCGGTCGTGATCAAACACTCGTTTGGCACGTGACGTGTCCCCGGCCAGCTGTGGGTCACGAGGGGCTCTGACGCGACACTGGCGGTGGAAGCGGTCCGTCACGTGGCTCGAGACGGCGAGGGTTGACCAGGGACCGAGAGCAGTTCTGCGCAGGTACGCTGTGAAGACAACAGAAGCTCGCAACACAGGCGGGGCCGACGGTGCCGCACTGAACGCGGGATCGGGTGTGCACTCGGCACAGTGACGGCCTCAGAACCTTCCAAACCTTGAAGGTGGACGTATCTGCACTAATCCCTACAATTTCACTTTTAAGGCTAGGTGGCGGATTCTTTTCGACATCTGTCGCTAAGACCGAGGAAGAAACATGCTGTGCACGCGAGCCTGGAGTTCCGACCCCACCCCCCTCCCCCGCCGCCGCCTCCAGCTCAGCTGAACAACAGGTTTCCATGGAAGTGGGGAGGGGATATCCTCCAGGAGTGAGCGCTTACCACACGGCCACCAGGGCCGCCGGCCGTAAGCTTAGCAAAAACCGAGACAGGATAACGGCCCTGTCGGCTATCTTTTGATCCGCTGCTCGACGTCACGGGAACGGGAAACACACTCAGAGGACGACTAGAGCACAAGCACAGAGATAAGTCTTATTTATGGATTGGTCTGGTGGCGGGTATTCAATCGAAAACTGAAAACACTGTAGCCGGGTGTGTTTACCACTAAAGCTACACGACGCATCAACCCACAATAACGTGAATAGTGCACGCGTTAGCGCGCTTGTGTACTGATGCCGAGTACCGCCGAAGGCTATGTTAACTGGGTAATGTGAACGGGCCCGTGCGCCACTGCGAAATACCTATGGCTACTCTCATCACTGGAGCACTTGGCCCGGTTGCTGTCCACCAGCAGTCTTACTGGAGTGTGAGCGCCACAGCACTGGAACGCAAGGCAGCGCACCCGCCCCTCATTGATGCATGCCTGCATCACGAGGAACGTAAGCGTCTCGCCACGCTGGGCCTGCGTGGCCCGCCACCTATCGCATTTGCTCGTACTAAATATTCCCCTGGGCGCCACCACACGTCTGCACTCTCGTCACACATAGATGTGTGTGACGAGACGATAAGCAAATGACCGTGTGATAAAGACAGATAGCTAGCATTTATAAGCAAGTCATTCCCATGGAACACCAATACATATCCATTGCACTCAAGCCTTCCACGTTTGCTGACCGGTGCAGATTGACTGATTGACCCACCCGAGCCTACCCTGGGGGATTATTTCGTGATATTCGGAATGAAACGCAGCCGAGAGATCATCTAACGACTCATCCGCTGCATTGCCCTCTTTATTGTTTTATCATATATCTCGCAACGCCCCGCTTGTCCGGGGCAGGCTGCATGCGCCAGTGATAAGTGGGCTGAAGGGCCGCCTGGTGGGGCTTTTGTCCGAGAGCCAAGCATACACTCCATACAGGGGTCTCTGTGCGGGCTTAGACTCGGGGGCTGGGTTCCCATGTGCACGCATCTCTGCCTGGCCGATGCTCATCCTCCGTCCCATAGCCCTTAAATGGCCACCACTGACCGCCAGTGTAATACAAATAATAATCTAATACAAATAACCAATAACCAATCTGCAGGTAACACAGCGTTTACTGTCTTATTCCTCGTAAAACAACCAGAATGAACAGATTCTCCTGGTTATTCCACGAAGTTTTTCAGCTTGCCACTGCTGATATTCCTTTCGAGGTCTCATTTCGTTTCGTTTATCATAGCATTTTTTCGTTCGAAATATCGCGATCATTTCGAATTACATATATACATATATATATATATATATATATATATATATATATATATATAGCTTAACTATTCATGTCTACCTATCCATCCTCCCGATTATTCTACGAGTAATAGGGCTATTACTACTGTCTTATCCACATGCACAACGTTCCCCACAAATGCACAACTTACGTTAATAACCAATCTGCTAACTAATTGAAGGCTCATAATCAGGGGTCTTTCTAAATGTAGTGACTATGGGATGATGTGAGAAAACGGAAGTGACATCGTGCCCCTAACTACCATAATTTATTCTGCCTTCACAGCGCACAGCCAGTCCCGCAAAGATCACATACAAGAACCATGTATTACTCAATTGCCAGAATCTTTTTCTTTTTCTTCTTTTTGAGCGTCAAAGCCTTCAGGCCTTTCACGTTTGCTTTTTGAACTTTCTTTAAGCTCTTTTGTTTCGTTTTCATGGTCTTCTTCTCCTTGCTCGTCTTCGTGGCCTTCTTCTCTTTGCTCTTCTTCATCACCTTCATCCCCTTTACCTTGCCCGCCTTGCCTTCCCGTTCGCCCGTCTTCTTCGGCTTGCCGGACGCTCCGGCCTCTTCCGTCCGCCTCCTCTTGCCCGTCCTCTTGCTCGGGCTAGCCTGCTGGTCGGCGTCCGGCCGTTTCCGCTTCGCCGTCGCGCCGTTCTGCTCCGCCGGGTGCCGGTCCTCCTCCTGCTCCGCCGCGGCTCTGTCCGTCCGCTGCTCGGCGACGGCGCCGACAGCGGCCTCCTCGGCGCCGGCCGGCGGCCAGCGCCTCTCGGGCGGCACGTGCAGCGTGACGCTGGTCAGCCGGCAGGTGGTGTTGTAGCTGGCCACCAGGAGTGGCTGCTCGGTCACGGCCGGCACCTGGGAGGCGCACACAGCACTGACGTCACACGTCGGCTTAAATGACGTCGTACGGGGCTCGGTGACGTCACACGGGGCGTGCCGGTCGTGACACACCTGGCGCCGGCGAAACAGACGGCAACCGGAGACGAGCGGTTCCAGTCTTAGGCTGATGGGATGATCTGCATGACAACACAAACAGACGGCAACCAGAGACAAGCGGTTCCAGTCTTAGGCTGATGGGATAATCTGCATGGCAACACAAAACAGACGGCAACCGAAGACGAGCGGTTCCAGTCTTAGGTTGCTGGGATGATCTGCATGGCAACACGAACAGACGGCAACCAGAGACAAGCGGTTCCAGTCTTAGGTTGCTGGGATGATCTGCATGACAACACAAACAGACGGCAACCGGAGACGAGCGGTTCCAGTCTTAGGTTGCTGGGATGATCTGCATGGCAACACGAACAGACGGCAACCAGAGACAAGCGGTTCCAGTCTTAGGTTGCTGGGATGATCTGCATGACAACACAAACAGACGGCAACCGGAGACGAGCGGTTCCAGTCTTAGGTTGCTGGGATGATCTGCATGACAACACAAACAGACGAGCGGTTCCAGTCTTAGGTTGCTGGGATGATCTGCATGGCAAGACGAACAGACGGCAACCAGAGACAAGCGGTTCCAGTCTTGGGTTGCTGGGATGATCTGCATGGCAACACGAACAGACGGCAACCGAAGACGAGCGGTTCCAGTCTTAGGTTGCTGGGATGATCTGCATGGCAACACGAACAGACGGCAACCGGAGACGAGCGGTTCCAGTCTTAGGTTGCTGGGATGATCTGCATGATGACAACACAAAAGACGGCAAACAAAGACGAGTCCAGTCTTAGGTTGCTGGGATGATCTGCATGGTGACAACGCAAAAGTTGGACGGCGACGTCAACCTGCCCAAATCGATAACAACTTGAGACGGCGGCACCAGACCAGACAAGGCTGCCGAGTGACCCTCAACTAAACGAAGCCCGCATAATCGCATCATGCAGGTTTGGGGGCGACGTCAAATCGCCCCGGTCGATCACAACTCCGAACGGCGGCGTCGAAGCAGGCAAAGCCTGCCGAGGTCTCATGGCTAATCGGCACGGCTATCTTCATTTAATACATAGGCAGATCTGGCAACGCTCCACGAGCCACAAAAAACCCGCATTTTAAAAGGTGTGGCCAGCCAACGCCCAACCACTCTTACACAATGGCCTTAAATGCACACTCGCGTAGCTGGGAGGCACGTCTCAGCTCTAGCAGACCAGCGCGTGTCTCACCGGCGCCTGCCAGACTTTGATCCAGCCGTCGGAGGAGGCGGTGACGAGCCAGCTGAGCTCTTCGGAGCGGCGGACCACGGTGGCGGCGCGCAGCCGGGACTCGTGCGCCGGCCAGCTCACACCGCGGCCGCCGCCCGCCTCCGAGACGTCAAACACGCTGGCCTGGCCCGACTCGTCGCCGCACGCCAGCTGCGTCTCCTGCGGGAGAGAGAGAGGGCGGCCCTCAAAGGTGGCGAGCGGCGGCGGCGGCGGCGGCGTGCGGTGACCTCGCAGGCTTCGGGCACGAGCGGACCCCACTGAGGGTGGGCCTGGTGATCCGGCTCGTGGCAGTGACGGCGCCGCCGCTCTGTCCGGCAAGGGCGCTCACCCGGGCCACACGCGATCGGGTGCCGCGGTGTACGGCGCCCATCCACCCTCGTTGCTGACTCCCAGGGTCAGCCATCAGCACGTCGCCAGGATCACACACCAGGGCGCGATTCAGAGCTGAATGCCAGGGCGGTCAATCAACAGACACTTACGATAAGCGGTGCTCTGACTCATAGGTGATGCACCCCCAGTCCGATTCCTCACGGGTCGTGCCTTATCCAATGTTCGCAAATAATGTGTAAATAATGTGTTAATAATGTGATATAGTCCGTACTGTATGCCTATGCTGCCAAGTGACGGACTTCATCGACAAATGACGATCCTAAGTTTCTCTACATAGCCTCAACTTCCAACACCTCCGAATGGGCACTCAACTCAACAGCATCCCCCGGCCCGTGCCGGGACAGACCTAGACGCCAGAGCTCGTGGCAGCACTGACCGAGATGTAGACGGCGCAGTTGATCTTGCCGGCCGACTTGAGGCTGTGCACCACACCGGCCGTAGCCACGCTGTACACATCGCAGCGGCCCTGCACGCCCACCGCGTACGTGCTGCCATCTGGCGACCACAGCACGAACTCGGCCGCTGCCGGGACGGCACGGTCCGCTCAGTGTCGCAGGTACAGGGTCACATGTTCAGTGGCACGGTACACGGACAGAAAGGGCTGGCAGGCTTTGGAAGCCCACATGACTGCCACAAGTTGCTGATACTCGCGAGAAGACAACCCACACAGCAAGGGGCTGAGAAGTCTCTCCGGGTGTGGGCGGTGCGCGGAATCACGTGGCTGACGCGGACCAAATGTAAACTGATGTAAACTCATGTAGCTAAACTGGACTAAGCCTAACAAAGAACATACCGCTGAAACACACCACTTAGGCCATGAAGACGCCACACAGAACCAATACAGGAAAATTCCCCATGGACCATACAATGGGGCACAACTAGCCAATGCAGTTAATGCCCCTTTAAAACCCAGTAAGAACAGCCCGACAGTGTTGGGCAGTGCCACAGTCACAGCCTAGGCCACCCCAGGCCGCCCTCTCCAATCTCCGGCTGCCGATGGCGCCGGGCGCGGCCGCTCACCGGCCTTGAGGTTGGTGCGGAAGGCGACGCGGCCGCGCACTAGGTCCCACGTGAGCAGCTTGCGGTCCCGGCCCGAAGTCAGCGCCAGCCGGCCGGACGGGTGGACGGCCAGCGCCGTCACGCCGCCGCGGTGGCCGCCCAGGTACTTCTCGCGCTGCCAGTTGTCGACGCGCACCACCGCCACGCGGCCGTCCTCCGAGCCGGAGAGCAGGTGGTGCCGCCCGTGGAACTGCAGGCAGGTGATGGTGCCTGCGGCGGCGGCAGTGGCGGCGTCAGCGGGGGAGCTGACGGGGGCGTGCGCTGTGCTGTGACATCAGAAGACAGCTGGTCGAGAATGCTTGACTACTGACAACACCCGACCGATCGATAAATGATTTGGCCAATTAATGAACTGAATGGAATGGAACAACGATAGTTTCGAGTAGGCCGAAACTACAGTGGTGACCGATGCTGCAATCTCCACACTCATTGACACATCGAAAACAGAGAAACGTGAAATGCAAGACGGAGAGAACAACCTTCCAGTGTAAGAAGCGCGCTGCCTCAACACCACAGTCATATGCCAACAGCCACAAGACGGGCAGCACCAGTACCGACACGTGGCTAGCTGCCCACCTTGGTGCTCCATCAGCTGTCCCATCTCGGTGCGGCGTCGCATGCTGTACAGCTTGACAATTTCGTCGGCGCCGCCCGAGGCCAGCAGGTCACCGCCGCAGGCCACCGCCCGCACGCTGGCCGTGTGGGAGTGGTCGGCGAACGTCTGCTCAAACTGGTGCACCTGTGACACAGCCAGCAGTAGATGACGCAGGCTGCCAGTACAGTGGCTGTGCGCAAGTTGATAAGTTTAAATTCTGGCGCGATTTGACCAATCAAACACATGTATGCAGGCATTAAATAGGTACTTTTTTCTGAGTTACAAGTGAAACATCTTACCTTTTCATCTCCAGAGTATGTGAAAAGCTGGTAACCAACCACAAATTCTTCATATGTGCCACATATAACTTCAAGTTGCAGCTCTCTGTCCATTGTCCTGTCTTCCAGATGAAGGATCAAGTCTGAAAAGCTTAGTTGAGACATATGGAGTTTTTAGAGTACAGGGCAAGGATAACAAATGGATTCTGACTTCATAAAGTAGCCCAAGCACAAGCAACCCTTTGTAAACATCAACTATGACAATACACACCACCAAACAACACAACACCATGTTTTGTTTTGCCCACACATTATTTTTCAAAGCTACAGCTGTGGGCAAAATGCTATTGAAGTTGTAATGCTAGTCAAGATCACTCACATGTGCCAAACATTCAGAAGGTCTGGCTATTAAGTGCCAACCTTCCAAATGGGTAAATCTCTGGGATCAGAGCCAAAAAAAAAACAGTGCCTACTGAAATTGTGCACCTGAAGTACAACCCACCAAAATGCTTGCCCTGGTTCATCCAGCCCTTCAACATTGATTGCCCTCTAGCAGTCTCCTCCACTAAAATAATGCTTAAATACAAAGCCTTACAAGAAAACTTGAATCCCACAGGAACCCCTCGCAAGCCAGTCTGCAGAACATGACAGATTTTGACAGGATCTCATTTGGGCAGCGCTGGGGAAAATATGAGTTTTGGGACATGTTTTGAAATTTTAGGGGCACAGACGTGTGGAAATGGGGCAACCTACAGTGTTCTGGGGCAACTCATGCTATCTAGGGGCAGGTAATAAACTGGGGCACAGGTTGTAGCACACTGTTAAAAACAGCAGTTCATGAAAAGAAGTGGACAGAAGGCAAGGAAAATGCCAAAGCAAAATATGCCACAGTTATCTTGCCCACACTGGTCTCAATTAATTCTATATCATGACAAAAACTTGAGTTGATTTTCCTTCAATTGTTTTTTCGCTTGATGTGCACAATACAGGGCTTGTGCAGGTCTGCTAGTGCCAATGTTATTGCTCTGTGGTAAACCAATGGAATTTTGGCATAAGAAAATTAAGATTGTCAGCAAAAATCTTGCAGACCCCATGGGTCATCAGGTCTGACCCAGCTCCTGTTGCTGCCCAAGCAGAAGAGCTGCCCAGCCCATTTGGGGTACAATCAGACCTGCCCAAACATATTATCAACCAGTCTGCCAACTTTTGCAAGCTGGTTTAAAATCAACACCCAACAAATATATTTCAGCCCACATATGAGGGGAAAGCTATCAATGTTAAAGCAAACTACTGGAAGATTCTGCAGGGTCTGGCCTATATGACTGGCTGGCCTCCTCAGTTTAAGTGATTTGAAAATATTCATCATCATTTGGCCTCCACAACACACTCAGCCGCACAGGCTGAATGGTATCACAAATCATCTGGTCTTAACTCAGCAGGAATGGTGGGTAAAATGGTCCTGTATTTTCTGTGAGTTAACCATGATTGACACTGAAAAAAATAATACCACTTGTGGCTAGATGGGGAGCATCTAAAAGTACAACCATACATTAATACTTACAAGGCTTGCAACCCCCGGCACACAGCACCCCTGAATGCACAAATTTTACTGTAAGCCTTACACATAATCAAAACATTGTCAAAGCCAATATTTGAGTCGTTCAGCACACGCACGTTGTGGATAAAATTCAAATTCGACACTTTCACAGTAAGGCCTCCGCACTTTCATCACCCCTCGGCTCTAGTTTCAGCTAAATGCATTACCCAAGCCTGGAATGAATCACCACACATCATAATAGCAAGCAGCATACCTATACCACTACCGCTGAGAACCCGCTCCACACGCACTCGGCCAACTTTTCCTCCTTCACGATAAACCACGAGCGCAGCCTTTGCGCGTAAGGCCGAGTTCGAAATAACAGCGTCATCATTGCACGTTCTTTGCCATGGTGTCTAAAGTACTGCCATACTCTGTGTTGGCCAACTGCTTCCCTCGTTCACTTCCGAGGTTAAGCGCCTCCTTTGTTTTACCATATACATGTATATTGAGTTTGCTTTGCCATAGGACTTTCAGGTCTGACAATTTGTAGCTGCTGCGTGAAAAGTGCAGGTGACTGCTACCATGCTGCTGAACGGAGAGGTGACTTTTATCATGACACACAGGGTCCCTTCAAGCCACTTGACCCCAAGAGACGCTAGCTAGAAGCATCAAACGCTTGAAGTTGTTATTTCGCACCTATCTTCTGAAAGCTGATAGTTTTCTGATACGTTTACGTGTCATGAGGATGCTAGGTTCGTGGCTCGCTTAAAAAAACAGCCCCACAATGTCCCATCAGCACACACATGCACGTGGGTGCGTGCGCACTTTTCTGGAAAGGTCAGACAAACTCGACAGGGTCGCGCGCGGCGTGCGCCAGTATATGTGTAAAAAAGTTGCCATAGGTATCGGCTCGTGCTGCTTGATTTGGAAACCGTTCGTTGCGTAAGGAGTGCGACATTGCCACGCGCCTGCGCCGATCCCGTCGCGTCGATGGTTCGTCGGTGGCGGTGAGCTGGCCCATGCGCTAGTACGCAGCTTGTTGGCGAGTGGAAACGTACTGGCCCTGGTCGATCGAGGGCGGTGGCCCATGCAAACACGACACGTAGGACCAATAGGACCAGGCAACTCTGGACCTAGTTTTTCGGTGCGTCGAGTGCAGTGAAGGATACTTTCTAGGAGGGAATACCGGACAACATCCAAAGTCTGGGATCTCCGCCTCACCAGGTAGGTTCCACTCCCTAAGCTATGCTGAAGCTTTCCTGCGTTTGCCCAAATTCCGCCTAGCCTGCAGCTTGCGATGTTGTCTACATGCGGTGGCGATCAGAGCGGGTCCAAGATGGCGAGCAAAGCGGGTCCGAGGGGTAGAACTTTAACTCTCCGCGAAACTTCCTGGCCCACTTCCCTTGGGAGCTTGAGAAAAACGCTCCAGGCCTACAAAACGATGAGGCTCAAGGAATTGTTTGGGTTCCAAAAATTGAACGTGACCCAAGCCCTTATAAATGATCTCACAACGTACCTATTTGGCACGCATGCCATCCAATATTGTAGTGGCTGGGTTGCGCGTCTGGGAAACCAGACGTGCAGGGTCCAATTACTCGCGGTGCCCACCCCTCCTGCCAGGGTGAAAGACAGGCACGCAACGAGAGGCGGGCAATACCACAACTCGGCATCGGCACAGTGTACCTTGAAATGGTTCACGTCCACAGGTGCAGCAGGGGAGGGGGGGGGGGCGCTCCCCTCTTCAGACCCGTATTTTGCATTCTCTGTTGTTACTGACCTCCGCCCCGCCCGCTTAAAAAATCCTGACTGCACCCCTGGCCAAGTCGTATTTTGCGACCACGTAATGATAAATGGCTCCCTCTGTAGCAAAATTCTGACGCCAGAGGAACGACGACATGGACCACACCAGAACAATCGGCTACTCAGCAGGCAAAAAGATGGTGGGGGGGGGGGGGGGGGAGCCAGCAATATTTCTGTAATGCGTTGCTCTGAGCAAAGCCTGCAAACGTGATATTACTCCCCAAACACTGGCGAGTGCATGGGTGGATTGTTGGGTGAGATAGCAGGGTCATGCTCCCGCAGTGGAATGGAGACATTTTCTTTTGCGCAAATGGCACTAGATTTGAAGTTTACCTCCAATAGCTGATGCTAGATCCAACCATGGCAAAGGTCCAACCAAAACAGGAAATAAAGAACGAAACGAAACTTTTTCATTAACTTTGAAGTGGCCCGGGCATCTAATTTGGTCTGCTCTTCACCGGCGCTTTCAGCGTCTGGGGAGCTGCAGTGCTTCTCACGCGCCCGACATCAAGCTCGGCTTTTGCAGCTGGCCGACCAGGTGCTGCCGAAGCGGTCGGTGTGACAGGCTGCGATGCATATGTCCGCCAAGCGGGCCCCGAGGTAGATCAAGACTGGGCGAAGGCGTCGCGAACCACCAGCAAACCTACTAACCTAACCTAACCTAACCTAACCTAACCTAACCTAACCTAACCTAACCAGCAAACTAAGGTGCGAGTAAGTAAGCTATTTCTGAGTAAGTTTGCACCAAAACTTGGCCACAAAACACATACGGTCAGTCCTGGGTGAGATAAGTTTATCTATCCACTGCGAAGCACTTTACGGGCAAGCTGAGCCCCATAGCACCCACGCAATTAGACTTATAGGATTTGGTTGTAACGGGACTGGCAGCCGCTAATGAATCAGGGCTGGAAGTAAAGCAGTCGGGGACGAATAGAAGGGAAAATAAGAAATAGCTTGTGTGTCAATGAATGCCCACGATCTACTAAGGAGGCACCTAGATCTGCCTGCTTCCCTTGGAAAAAAGCCAGTGACGCCGCCGCCCTCAACGGAGTATTAGCGAATTGTATTGATCGAAGCCCCCAGACTTTGGCGCTCGCTAGGCTTCGATCAATATTGAATGGCATTCTAGCAGAGGAGTCGTACAGGACAAATGCATGAGTCTGTAGTCTTCAGCCGGATACAAACCGGCTTTGTGGATGAGGGTAGGGGCTGCACCGGTACACATAACTACCACCCTGATGGGGGCATACACCCGTGCCCGTGTTCCGCTGCAGCAACACAAACAAGTGCTGCGTGTGTGGTGTCCTAGAATATTTGCCTGCCTGTGCCCACATCGACGCATCTTGAGACGGCTTATGACAGAGCTGTCACATATTTACTATTCGGTATGCATTCACCCGCTGGCCTAGAGCCATGGAAACGTCTCTGAATCTCGACAGATTGACCGTTGTCTCCCCGTGGTGCCCCTGATCTCACCCCACCTCGACGGAATGACCGTTGTCTCCCCGTGGTGCCCCTGATCTCACCCCACCTCGACGGAATGACCGTTGTCTCCCCGTGGTGCCTCCCGATCTCGCTCCCTCGTGGGGCGCCGGCGGAGGCTGGCCATCAGTACCAGCCGACCAGACGGCGGCTTGGCAAGCCGCTACGACCGCTCGTCTCGGAGCCGGTCGGTCGACCGGAGCCCCGCCCTGTGGTCAATGGGTCACCACTGCCGGGCGGACTGCACGCCGCCGCCTCCGCCGCCGCCGCCGCCGCCGCCGCCCTGGCAGACGTGACGCGTGCCCGGCGTCGTCACGAGCGCGGCCCGGATCGCGAGATATCGACCGCTGTCGGCGCCCAGCGCTGGGGCAGTAGCTGGTGGCGCGGACGGGGGTAGACCGATCCATCGTGCACGCTCGTTTCCATTGAGTGCCGCTTCTGGCGAAGGCTTCACGAGACTATTCCCGTTGTGAGAGATAACACGTGATCAGTGGGTATAAGGGTGCTTCATCGGTCGGCTGTAAGAAACTCCAGAGAATGTGTCTCGCGACTCTGGTGGACGTCGTAAGTCGTGACTGCAGTGTGTGACTCCGGTGGAGGTCGTGAGTCGTGACAGGACTGTGTGTCTTCCGTGGGTGTCGTGATTCGTGACTGGCATGTGTATCTCCGGTGGAGGTCGTGAGTCATGACTGGAGTGTGTGTCTCCGGTGGAGGTCGTGAGTTGTGACTGAAGTGTGTGTCTCCGGTGGGGGTCGCGAGTCATGACTGGAGTGTGTGTCTCCGGTGGAGGTCGTGAGTCATGACCGAAGTGTGTGTCTCTGGTGGAGGTCGTGAGTCATGACTGGAGTGTCTCCGTTGGAGGTCGTGAGTCGTGACTGAAGTGTGTGTCTCCGGTGGAGGTCGTGAGTCATGATTGGAATGTGTCCGGTGGAGGTCGTGAGTCATGACTGAAGTGTGTGTCTCCGGTGGAGGTCGTGAGTCATGCCTGGAGTGTCTCCGTTGGAGGTCGTGAGTCGTGACTGAAGTGTGTGTCTCCGGTGGAGGTCGTGAGTCATGATTGGAATGTGTCCGGTGGAGGTCGTGAGTCACGACTGCAGTGTGTGTCTCCAGCGGAGGTCGTGAGTCGTGACTGCTCTGTGTGTCTCTGGCGGAGGTCGTGAGTCCTGACTGAAGTGCGTGTCTCCAGTGGGGTCGTGAGTCGTGACTGCAGTGTGTGTCTCCGGTGGAGGTCGTGAGTCATGATTGGAATGTGTCCGGTGGAGGTCGTGAGTCATGACTGGAGTGTGTGTCTCCGGTGGAGGTCGTGAGTCGTGACTGCTCTGTGTGTCTCTGGCGGAGGTCGTGAGTCCTGACGGAGGTGCGTGTCTCCAGTGGGGTCGTGAGTCGTGACTGCAGTGTGCGTCTCCGGTGGAGATGGCTGATATTGGCCTCAGCTGACAACGGAGCCAGTCATTGAATCAGGATATGTGGCCGGAGTTTCCACAATAGCTATTAGAAGGTCCCGGCTCTGTCGCTCAGTGGCTGTTGTTTAATCGTGTTAAACTTAAGCACTCGGTTTATTCGGCGAAACACAAGTTTGCACCCCGCTGAAATCAAATTTCCGCCGTTGGATTGACCGGGCGTCTTGATTGAACCATGCGGGATCTCGCCGCTCTGCAGTGAGTTCTGCCGGTGCCTGTGCATGTCCGATGCAGCGACGGCGCTGACAGCACTGGACAGACATGAGCCTGGTTTCCAGGATCCGTTCCCGGTACCTCGTACCTGTGCTCCCAGTAGCTGGCTTTGGAACCAGGAAGAACCCGGTGATAGCTTTGGTGCCGCGCCGGACGTCTAGCACGAACCGGGGTCCAGAACTGAATTATGTTGCAGATGGGCAGACTTTGCGGGACAGCCTACGTCAGATGGCTGGCCCTGCTGGCCATCTTGGGTCAGATGTGCGGGGTTTGCGCAACAGCCTATCTCACATGAATGGCTCCTGTGGGACAGCCTACGTCAGATGGCTGGCCCTGCTGGCCATCTTGGGTCAGATGTGCGGGGTTTGCGCAACAGCCTATCTCACATGAATGACCCCTGCGGGACAGCCTACGTCAGATGAGCGGCTCCTGTGGGACAGCCTACATCAGATGAGCGGCTCCTGTATGACAGCCTACATGAGATGAGCGGCTCCTGCGGGACAGCTCACATGAGATGGGCAGCCGCTACAGGACAGCCTACCTCAGATGAGCTGCTCCTCTTGGACAGCCTACATCAGATGAGCGGCCCCTGTGAGACAGCCTACATCTGATGAGCGGCTGGCTGCGTGTGGAGTCCGAACAAATGTGCTAAAAAGAACACACGTTCAGAACGCACGAGAACTGTTGTCCAGTTTAATGTTCCGCACATTGTTGTTTTAAGTATATACTTCTGAGGAACTGACGTGGCTCTCCAGTTTTTTACACTTAAGCATTAATTATTGATGCGTTTAGCGTACAAGTATCACACGCTTCTTCTCACGAACGCACACTTGTACATACACATCCATAGTACCTTGAATCATCTCATAAAAGAAGTGTTCCGCATTTGTATGGGATTTGAACTGAAATAACCATCTTGAAGATCATTCGGTGCAGTTCGAAGCCTTGCCCGTTTAACACCCAAACCCCTCTAGTTTCTGAGTTGCGCGCCCGCGAAGGTGTACAGATTTTTCGGGGAGACTATTTCAAGGTCACCCAATCATCCCTGGCACCATAACATTATTCAAATCCCACCATTCTATGAGCCATGCGGGATCAATGCCAAGAAAAGTACAACTGTCGAGCCGTTCATATCTGGCGTCTGTGAGCACGATTTCCAGATATAACAACTGCAAACTGGCCCTCGATCAATGTTGCGCTGGGTAAGGTTACGTAACCAAGCAGTGATAAATTCAGGAGCATCTTCACTAAGTCGGAAATGGTGTTGCC